CGGTTGGCCAGGTTGCTGAGGGCCTCTTTTGTTGGCCAAGGAGGGTGGACAGAGGCCTGGGTACTCGTGTGGGTTTAAAGCAGGTGACAGACGTGGCTGGAGAAAGCATGGAGGGGAGGGTGGCTGTCCTGAGAAGAATCCAGACTTGTGCCCAGGCATTCATTTTAATTGGGTCCACGGAGGCCAGTGAGTGGGCTGCCAGTCCATTGTGCAGGAGAGAAGCTGAGGCCCAGGTCCCACGTAAAGCGTAGGGAAGGGCTCAGCAGTGCAAAGGGAGGATTTCTGAGAGAGTATGGGTGGGGTAGCGGGTGAGGGCAAGTAGCATCTTGTCAAGTGTTTCCAGGCTTCTGGAGCTGTGGGTCCTGCCTGGGTGAACCAGGTGTTGGCCTAGGCCTCTGCTGGGGGGAGGGTTCTGCTGTAGTGGTGAGGGGGCTGGTCTACCCCCCTCCCCCCGCTGGCCCCCACCCAGGGATGTTTAAGCTGGCTTGAGGGCAGGGACCATGTGGGTTTCATTTTTATGTTCTTCATCTCCCCCTGATCCTAATAGAACCTCCCAGGCCTCTGAAAACTCTCAGAAAATATCCGTGTTACCAAAACCCAGATGTTGATTAGGGACTGAGAGGAGATAGGAGAAGAAACTGTTTCCTGGGGCTTTTAGCATTTACTCATTCAACAAACGTGTATTGAGTGCCTGCTACGTACTAGGAATTATAGGGTGTTGGGGGCACAGGGTGGACCACTTTTAGGAACACTGCTGGGGAAACCAAAATAAACAGACGAGACAAGTTGTTTTTATCTCATTTGGTCTCAGAACAAGCCTGTGTTGGGGGCTGGGCCGGTGTTACCTTACCCTGTTCCCAGTGTCACAGACAAGGAAACTGAGGCTTAGGAAGGTTAAATAGCTTGCTTAAGGTCCCACTCTAGAAACAAACAAACAAACAAAAAAACCAAAACAAAAAGGTCCCATTCTTAGGCAGTGGCAAAAGAAGGGGAGTCAGTGAGGCAGCTGCCTGGCCAGAAGTGGCAAAAAGTGGGCTGGAGCTCAGACGCAGTGGCCTCTCCTCTCCCTCTGCGTGGTCCACCCCAGCCCTGGGGCCTCGGCCTCCTTCCACGCTTCTCTAGCTGCCCTTCCTTTCCTGCCTTTGCCTGGGGTTCCTGCTACCTGGACTCTGCCTGGACAAGTGTGAGGGGGTAGGAGAAAGAGGCTGCGCCTGCCCAGCCCCCTCATATCTGTGGGGCCTGCCCTTTAGCAAGCCGGGACGCTACCAGTCTTCACCACCAGGCTGAGAGGTGCTTTCCCCCAGGACTGCTGACCTGCCCCGGGTCCCCCAGCCTGGCCTGCAAGGGCCGGGCCTGGGATCCAGGCCTGGGAGGAGGTGCTGCTCTTGCCACAGTCTGGGCAGTCAAGGTTGCAGTTCTCAGCCGTAGAAGGAAGGGCCAGTCTGCAGGCGGCTGCATCCAGGAGGCTGCCAGACAAGAAGGATGAGCTGCCTCTGCTGGTTTCAGCCCCTCCATTGTCCTGGAGCAGGATGAACAAAGCCAGCAGGCTGGCCAGCAACCCCATGCCAGGGGCCCCCCTGGGCAGGTCCTGCTGCCTCTCACCTGTCCCAGCTTAGAAACCAGGAAACTGCTCACTGCTTCCCCAAGGGAAGCTGTCCCCAGGAGCAGCCTGGTGGGGTCGACCAGCTGTTCAGTGCTGGCAGCTCTGGAGTATGTACCATTTCCACTCTGCTTCAAACTTATTCTTCTATTCCTGACCCCCCTTAAGAAAAACATTCATCTCTGGGCTGGGCTAGGTTTGGATTCAGCAAGTTGGTATGGCTTCTCCAAGTCTGTGACATGCGGTGGAAGGGCTGGAAATGTGGATTCCCAGGGCTGGGTGGCTGCCCCTCTTCAGGCCTCGGTGTCCTCTTCTGTAAAATGAGATAAATACCTACCAAATCAAATTGCTGTGAAAATAAAGTAAATGTGATAGAGGAACCCAACACAGTGCCCTCAAGGTCAGCAGTCCCTGGATGCCCTCGTTATTACAAGAATCAGTTGTGTCTTTGCCACACTCAGGAGATGGCTTTCTGGGGATCTAAAACTTGATCTAAAGCTTGGACCTGAGCTCCACCCCTTCCCAGTGCTTTCCCAGCCTTTGCTTGGATGCCTCCAGGGGCCATGAGCTCATCCTCTGCCCCAGTTGGCAGCCCCAGCTCCATTAACAAGTGTTTGCTGCCTCAGTTTCCTCCTCAGCAGTCCACAGGTCCCTTCCTCCAACCCTGATGGCTGAGATGAGCCCCCCATGCGGTGGAAGGGCTGGAAATGTGGATTCCCAGGGCTGGGTGGCTGCCCCTCTTCAGGCCTCAGTGTCCTCTTCTGTAAAATGAGATAAATACCTACCAAATCAAATTGCTGTGAAAATAAAGTAAATGTGATAGAGGAACCCAACACAGTGCCCTCCTCAAGGTCAGCAGTCCCTGGATGCCCTCGTTATTACAAGAATCAGTTGTGTCTTTGCCACACTCAGGAGATGGCTTTCTGGGGATCTAAAACTTGATCTAAAGCTTGGACCTGAGCTCCACCCCTTCCCAGTGCTTTCCCAGCCTTTGCTTGGATGCCTCCAGGGGCCATGAGCTCATCCTCTGCCCCAGTTGGCAGCCCCAGCTCCATTAACAAGTGTTTGCTGCCTCAGTTTCCTCCTCAGCAGTCCACAGGTCCCTTCCTCCAACCCTGATGGCTGAGATGAGGTCACCTCTGCTGGGGGCTCCTTTCTGACCCCATCCCCCACCCCCTCTCTTGACCAATCCTCCTCTCTTTGCTCTTGCAGAGATTTTGATTCACTTTCCAAGGACAATGTCTTCGAGAATAACTGTTTGGTGAGTCCCCAGACAGATGGAAGCCAAAGGGGTTGTGTGGTGTGTGTGTGTGTGTGTGTGTGCTGTGTGCTGTGTGTGTGTGTGGTGTGTGGTGTGTGTGTGTGTGTGTGTGTGGTGTGTGTGTGGGTGTGTGTGTGGTGTGGTGTGTGTGTGTGTGTGTGGGTGTATGTGTGTGGGGGGGTTTGTGTGTGTGTGTGGTGTGTGTATGGGTGTCTCTGTGTGGTGTGTGTGGTGTGTGGTTGTGTGTGTGGTGTGTGTGTGTGGTGTGTATGTGTGTGTGTGGGTGTGTAGTGTGTGTGGTGTGTGTGTGTAGTGTGTGTGTGCATGTGTGTGTGTGTGGTGTGTAGTGTGTGTGTGCAGTGTGTGTGTGTGTAGTATGTGTGTGCGGTGTGTAGTGTGTGTGTGTGTAGTGTGTGGTGTGTGTGTGTGCATGTGTGTGTGTGTGGTGTGTAGTGTGTGTGTGTGTAGTGTGTGGTGTGTGTGTGTGCATGTGTGTGTGTGCGTGTGGTATGTGGTGTGTAGTGTGTGTGTGTGTAGTGTGTGTGCATGTATGCATGTGTGTGTGTGGTGTGTGGGTGTGTGTGGTGTGTGGTGTGTGTGTGTAGTGTGTGTGCGTGTGGCGTGTGTGTGTAGTGTGTGTGTGTAGTGTGTGGTGTGTGTGTGTGCATGTGTGTGTGTGCGTGTGGTGTGTGGTGTGTAGTGTGTGTGTGTAGTGTGTGGTGTGTGTGTGTGCATGTGTGTGTGTGCGTGTGGTGTGTGGTGTGTAGTGTGTGTGTGTGTAGTGTGTGTGTGCATGTATGCATGTGTGTGTGGTGTGTGGGTGTGTGTGGTGTGTATGGTGTGTGGTGTGTGTGTGGTTGTGTGTGTGGTGTGTGGTGTGTGTGTGGTTGTGTGTGTGGTGTGTGGTGTGTGTGTGGTTGTGTGTGTGGTGTGTGGTGTGTGTGTGGTTGTGTGTGTGGTGTGTGGTGTGTGTGTGTAGTGTGTGTGTGTAGTGTGTGTGTAGTGTGTGTGTGTGTAGTGTGTGTGTGTGGTGTGTGTGTGTGTAGTATGTGTGGTGTGTGGTGTGTGTGTGGTGTGTATAGTGTGTGTGTGTGTGGTGTGTGTGTGTGGTGTGTGTGTGTAGTGTGTGTGTGCGTGTGTTTGGTGTGTGGTGTGTAGTGTGTGTGGTGTGTGTGTGGTGTGTGTGTGTGTGTGGTGTGTGTGTGTGTGTGGTGTGTGTGTGTGGGGTGTGTGTGTGTGGGGTGTGTGTGTGTGTGTGTGTGGTGTNGTGTGTGTGTGGTGTGTGTGTGTGTGTGGTGTGTGTGTGCGTGTGGTGTGTGTGTGCGTGTGGTGTGTGTGTGCGTGTGCTGCAGGTAAGGCCCTGGCAGCTCCTCTCCTGTTTCCCATTGGCCCCCTTGCGTCTGGAACATCAGGGTTCCTCCTCCTCCAGGCTCGGGGTGGGACTTGAGCTGAGGGGAGCCTACAGTCACCCCATGCCACCAAGCGGAGCTGGGCCTGGGCTGGCGGGCATCCACTGACACTACCTCCTCCTTCTCCTTCTCTTTCTGCTGCGGCTGCACCTTCCCGCACCCCAGGCCTTTGAAGTGGCCGAGAAAGAGCTGGGGATCCCCTCTCTCCTGGACCCTAACGACATGGTCTCCATGAGTGTCCCTGACTGCCTCAGCATCATGACATATGTGTCCCAGTATTATAACCACTTCTCCAGTCCTGGCCAAGGTGAGAGGGGACCCGGCTCTTCAGGGAGGCTGCTGACCCTGGGGGAGGCCCTGGGATATGCTTGTGACTTGTTTTCTGAGCTGCAGTCAGGTGGCTGGGGAGGCAGCACATCATCCATTCACTTGATCATTCATTCAAACATTTGCTTTGTTTGTTTACTCTCTGAATTATTATTATTATTATTATTTTCTTTAAAATTTTTTAAAAACATGACTGGTAAGGGGATCTTAATCCTTGACTTGGTGTTGTCAGTACCACGCTCTCCCAAGTGAGCTAACTGGCCATCCCTATATGGGATCTAAACCCATGGCCTTCGTGTTATCAGCACCACACTCTCCCAAGTGAGCCATAGGCTGGCCCTGAATTATTATTATTTTTTTGTGGCTGGCGAGCGATTGAATCCTGGACCTTGGTGTTATCAGCACCACACTTGAACCAACTAACGAGCCTCATTCAAACATTTATTGAGTAAAATAGCACTGTGCTAGGTCCTGGGGGTAAGCTGTGAATGTGATGGCTGCTTACAGTCTTGTGGGGGAGACAGACAACAAACATATAAACTCCGAAATGAACAAAGTAATGTCAGAGACAAAACAGGGTGAGTTCATCTGTTGTATGTGTTCACCTCCCCGACACCCAGCCTCATATTCTGTTTGTGGATACTTGCCTGGGTTTTTTTCCTACAGCAGGGAAATGGCTCTGTCCTGTGGGGCTGTGCAGCATCCCACAGAAGTGACTTTCAAGGCCTGAGAGCTCTGTGGGTACCAGGCTCTGTGGGTGCCAGTGACCGTGGGCACATCAGACTGGTCCCTGCCCTTGAGACTGGGGAGCTGGAGTGGGCTACAAGGTTAACTCTCTGCTCTGAGTCAGGCCACTGGGCATCCCCATGCAGGGATGTCTCCTGGGGGCAGCTGGGCCTCCCCTTTTGCAGAGAGGAAATGGGCCCAGAGAGGGGAAGCAAGGAGCTCAAGTCACACAGCAGGAATGAGAATGCAGGTGTCCTGAATCCTGCACTAGGTCATTCTGTCCAGGGTCCCAAGTGGACCTCATTTCAGTCCTACCTTCTGCCTCTGCTCTCCATCTGGATGATCCCAGCCCATCCCCTTTTAAAAAAAGTGTTTCATGAAGTCAGGGGTTTCTTTTCTTACTAGAAGTGAAACACATTTACTCTAGAAAATTTATTTATTTATTTGTTTGCTTATTTATTTATTTTTTAAAAGATGACCGGTAAGGGGATCTTAACTCTTGACTTGGTGTTGTCAGCACCACACTCACCCATTGAGCTAACCAGTCATCCCTATGTGGGATCCGAACCTGTGGCCTTGGTGTTATCAGCACCACACTCACCCGAGTGAGCCACGGGCTGGCCCAACTCTAGAAAATTTAGAACATAGAAAAATATAAACATTAAAATAATCTGTGATTCTCCCTTTGCCTGATATAACACTAGGAATTAAAGTTATAATTAAACAAATCACATTATATGTATTTTTTTTTTTTTTTTAAAGATGACCGGTAAGGGGATCTCAACCCTTGGCTTGGTGTTGTCAGCACCACGCTCAGCCAGTGAGCCAACTGGCCATCCCTATATAGGATCCGAACCCGTGGCCTTGGTGTTATCAGCACCGCAGTCTCCTGAGTGAGCCACGGGCCGGCCTACATTATATGTATTTTAATAGAAATTAAAATGAAAGTATTTCTAAACACCAGAGTCTTTGATGAGAGGCAGTCTAGGGTGGGGGTAAGGAGGATTCACAATTTTCACTCTGCTGTTTACTCTCTGGGTGACCATGAGCCATTTACTTAACCTCTCTGCCTCAGTTTCTCCTGTGCAGTGGGATTAGGATAGCATCCATCTCACAGGGTTGATGTGAAGAGTAAATGAGGACATGTGAAACTGTGTCCGGCCCTTATTTAGGACTCAGATTAGTATTCTTGTCACTTATTTCTTTTTTCTCTTTTCTTTTTTTTTTAAAGATGACCGGTAAGGAGATCTTAACCCCTGACTTGGTGTTGTCAGCACCAGGCTCACCCAATGAGCTAACCGGCCATCCCTATATGGGATCCGAACCCGGGGCCTTGGTGTTATCAGCACCGCACTCTCCCGAGTGAGCCACAGGCCGGCCCGTCACTTCTTATTTCATTGATCAGAGTTCAGCTTGCATGCTTAAGAATCCCATTTTAGTCTTATCTCCCAGAGGCTTCCTTGTGGCCAAACCCAAATCTCTTTCTACTAAGCTCATCTCTGCTGGGCCGCTCTTTCTGGGACCTGTGGTGGATGGGGTAGGGGCAGCCCTTGGTGGTGCCCACTATGTTCCCTGGTCCTCATTGGGCACCTGGTGGGTGAGGGTAGCCCTGATACCCCCAGCTCCCTGCACTGTGCCTGGCTGGGAGAAACACCTCGCCCTGCGAGGATTCTCGTTGATAGAGGTACAGCTTGTGCTTTTCATACAACTTGGCTTCTCAATGCAAACCATTTTTATTCAATCTGCCACTCAAGCAAAGGAAACAGTGATATGTTCCAACCCTGGAAATGGCTGTTCAACTGCCCCAGATGGTCCTATACTGTACTTTCTGGGCAAGTAGATGCATTTCAAGGGTGATTTTGACCAAAATTGACTTTAACCAGATTGGGGAACTCTGGAGCCTGCCCCTGGCTGAGACACACTGCTCCATGCTGAGTGTTCAGCTTGTGCCAGGCTCTGTCGGTGCCAGTAACCCCGGGCATAACAGACTGACCCCCACCCGCGAGGAGCCACAGCCTGGTTGGGGAACCAGGGCGTGCGTGAAGGAAGCCCAACAGATGTGGGGAATCAGATGAGGGGCACCTGCCCCCCTGGGTGGCAGGGGCAGGTATCATCAGGAAAAGTCCAGCTTCCCAGCGTGGCTTCAAGGGACTCTTCCCCTTTAGCCTGAGCCACTCCCTGTCACATTCCTTCACTGGTAAGTCTTCTTGCTGACCTTCCTGCCCCTGCCCACACCCTGGCAGATTCTTTCCTGCTCCTGCTCTTATCTTCACATCTTCCTCCTCCAGGCAGCCTGCCTTGATATTCCAGCTGCTCTCGTAGCCACCCACCTAGTGGTGAACGTGGCCATGAGGTCTTATTCATCTTTCCTCCCGGGCAGACCATCTCTGTCTAGTTCACAGCTATGTAGCCCCAGCACCCGGCACTTATTTAACAAATATTTATTGAGCTCCTACTGTGTGCCAGGCACTGTGCTGCTGCTGGGGAGACAGCTGAGAGTGAGACAGACTCATGGAGCTTGCATTCTAACGAATGGGGAGAAGAGAGAAAGCAAAGCATAGTAATATAATTCCAGATGAGTCCAGTGAAGGAAAGAAAATAAGGTCAGGGGATAAAAAGTAGTGGGGGCAGGGAGTGGCTACTTTAGATGGGTGGTCAGGGAGGGCCTCTCGGAGGAGGTGACATTGTTGCCCCCACACTGGTCCGCAACGGGAC